ATTTGAGGGAGTGGGCAGGGGAGGGGGGGCCCGATGGTCGGCTGGGTGCCGGGGTTTAGGGCGCAAAGGGGAGGTGCGCGCTTGGGCCGAGCTCCGTGCACACAGGCTGTGCGAGAGGGGGCGCGGCACGGCGCCCGCCGCGTCGGTCGGCCTGGCCGGCGGGGCGCAGGGGCCGCTGACTGGGCAGCCTGGCACCAGGCTGGCATGGCTGTGCCGCCGTTGCCGCAGCTACCTGCTGGCCTGTGCCTGGGCCCTCGTCTCTGCTCCCGTCCACCTGCCCCTGATCCCTCCTAGTCTGCCCGATCAAGCATGCATCTTCTTACTTTGAAAGGCCCTTGGGAATGAAGACCCATGCGTCCAGGCGAGTGCCATGCGAATAGATCCCCTCGGTCGTGCGCACATACGCGGCGTTGTCGACCGGCGCCGCCACGCCATCGTAATCATGCGTCGTGTCGCGCACCAGCTCAGAGTCCACCGCCGCCTCCCAAGGCAGCGCGATCAGCGCACCAATGGCGACAGCCAGCCCCGCCGTCCACAGGACGCCGCTCATGCTGCGCGCATACCCCATGGCTAAAGCACTGCAGCAGCTATTCGCAGCACAGGTATCCGCTTCAAAGCTACGTACGCTGTGTGTTGTGGCAACGGCTCCTCTGCTGCGCTGTGATGCCTCAAAGTGTGTACCAGGAATCGACCGATGCGCGCTGTGCCAAAAATGGCGCGAATTACAATTTGATTGGCGAGCGATCAATCTGCGATTATCGCATAGGCTCGTCATCTTGACAAGCGCATGCGCAAGATCACTGCACTGTCAGCAAGTCACAGTTGCAACCGCAAGCACCAACCTGTCATTGAGGACCGTACGCAACACAGCTGCGAATCTAACCTTGATACTCATCAAACATCCAGGTCGAGCTAGCGCTGACTGGGCCGGGCAGCCCGCTGCTGCTGGCGGTGGCGCTGCTGCTCATGCTGCTGCTCTGGGCGGTATGCCTCTGACCGGCCCCTAGACCCCTGCTGCTGTGACACGCCCGGGCCACGGCCCCAGCTTTGTTGGTGGCCGCCACCATCCATGGCCGCGGCGGTTGGAGGCGGCGTCAGGTAGCTGAATGGGCGGTGCATCATCGCCGCGGGCGGAGCATACCCGCCGCCGCCGCCGCCGCCGCCGCCGTGCCAGGACAGGCCATGGGGGGGCAGGGGCAGTGGCAGGGGGGCCGGCGCGACCGGCTGCGGCGGCACCATGACCCATGGCTGCGGCGTCTGCCAACTGTGGTGGAGTGTCCATGGAGCGCGGGTGGGAGTGGATGATGCGTGTTGTCATCAGTGGCAGTGAGGCTCATAATGAACACACTCAGCACTCTCGCGCGCGCTCTCTCTCACACAGCACGCGCGCGCACACACACACGCGCGCACGCACACACACACACACACACACATACACATGCACACTCACAAACATACACTCACAAACACACTTACATACAAACACTGCGCACACAGCTATCGCACACATACAGATGAACCAAGGACTAGTGCAAGCATGAAACATGCGATGTCGCACCCTTGCGGCAGTGGGGCGGTCGGGTCGGATCGCGCTGCCACTGGCGCCTCATTGCCTTTGCCCGCGTCCGATGCGCCCTGAGGCAAAGTGGCAAGTGATGGTACCAGGTGGGCGAGACGGCATCAGGCCGCTTTCATGCAGCAGGCAAGCGCTTTTTCACCGACACTGTAATTGTTGAGCGCCTGGACAAGCCCACCCCCACACCTGGACCCACCTTTCTGTCCCTTTTTTTCTTCTTCTTTTTGCGCTTTCTTCGCTCCTCATCGTCGCCGCCGCTCGCCGACGAGGCGTCGTCAAACGTGCTGCTCGCGTCGCTGGAGCTGCCGGTCCCCCCCTTGCCGCCGCGCCTCCGCCCCCGCCGCCGAGACCGGGACCGCGACCGTGCCCGCTGCTTGTGCTCCTTGCCCGCGCGCTCTGCGGCGAGCCGGCGGCGCCTGCGGATGCAGCACGCGCAGCAGACCAGCAGCAACAAGGCGACCACCGCGATCACCGCCACTCCCGCCTTGCTTGACATGAAGCGGGCCGCGGCAGATCGCACGCTGCCGCCGCTGCTGCCGCCGCTGCCGCTGCCTCCCGAGGTACCTCCAGAGCTGCCGTTTACGGCTGCTGCGTTTGAGGTTGAGACAATATTGTGTTGTGAAAGACCTCACAGTTGCAGGTAGTTTTGAATTGGCTTATCACCGACTTATGAATGAGTCGCTTCGTCATGTTTCTAGCTTTATGGCCACCCCCTCACGAGATGGGGAGCCTGAAGGGACGGGTGACGTGACCGGCGCCCCGCCGCCATACAGGCACCATTGGGGGTCCAGCACGTTCTGCGGCAGGACATGCGGTGGACTCAATTGGCAACAGACGTGTTTTCTGTCCCACACAGGCCAAGCAAGTTGAACGAGGGCGCGCACCACAGATGGACCCGGCAACATGCTTCCTTGCAATTGCGTTGGGGATGGATGGTTTGGGTGTCCACTTTGTAAAAGAGCTCAGGCCCACTGTCCTACCGTGAAATCGTTGTAGTAGCCGTCATTGCAATTGCAGGTGCAGTTGGCAGCAAGCAGCGTGCCGTGGCCACCACAGGAAGTTGGAGGGGTCAGGACGGTCTGGCAGAGGCCGCTGCTCGAGGCGGCCAGACGCCTGGCCCAGGCGCGCGGGTGGCGCCCGGCCGCCAGGAGCCTGGAAGATTGCATGATGGGGGGGTAGTTTTTGGGTGCTCTGCGTGTCATTGCCAGAGCCGGAAGGGCCGCGGGCTCAGCCGCGAGGCGTCACACGCAACGTCTCTGACTGTTGTTGACACATAACAGAATCACCACACGGCAGGCAGCTGGATTCCCACACAATTTTGGTGCTGAGGACAAGGAATGCGGGGGTCGCAACCTGCTAAAATACCCTCTGCAGCTATCAGTTTATCTGCGGCACGCATTACGTTGGTGGCATCCACTGTGCTGCAGCTCCTTGACCATTCGTGTCGCCGCACAGGTGCCGCACGCGACTTTACGCCGCCACCCAAGACGCACCTAGCGGAGAGCCAGCTCATCTCATGACTTTTCAAGTCTCGTTTCAAAACATGATATTGTCAGATGATTCCGGTCAATGAGTCAAGCGAGATCGACAAGGCGAGCTGAAAAGTCGGGCGAGCGATAGAGCCACTTGGTTTGGTTCTAAGCGGGCTTTTGGAGTTGAGACTCCGGTAGAGCTGCAAACCAGGCTGGGTCTGAGCAAATCGGGTTGCAGGGCGAGTTGGAACGCCGCGCGCTGTAGTTCCATGTTAGAGACGGTATGTGCGGCACCGGTAATCGTAAAAAATATATATATTTGCCGAGTTCAGTATGATCACCAGGTGAGAGGCTGTGCTTGACAATTTGACACGACGGTTCCGAGGCCACAACCGAAATGCGCACCGCCCCTTACACCCTCGGATGCAGCCAGCAGTGCAAACTGCGTTTTGTACATTGTAAAGCTTTTCCACTGACTTCTACTTAAAGCACGATTCTCAAACTCTTGGACGGGCCACTGCGAGCTCGACACCTCATCACCTGAAAAGCCCCACCCCCAAAACTGCAGCATCAAAGCAAAGCAATCCATCAGAAGCCAGGGGCACTGATAATCACCACGATGAGGAGATGTGCCATAGTCGTGTCCGTGCTGTTCATAGCTGCAGGCGTGGCCCTGGTGCTGCCGCGCACAGCCGCTGCTGCACCTACTGCTTGGGATGCTCTAGGAGAAAACGGCCAACCCGTCAACGGCGGCCGCAGGCTCAAGCAGCTGACAGTTTACGCAAGCACGCCCTCCTTGGCCGGCAGCGTGTCAGGCGCGGTGAACACCCACAGGCAAATCGGCGGCGACGGCACCGTCCATGCCAGCGGCGGCGTTTCTGCTGCAGAGACCACGGCCATCTCAAACCCACTACTGCGAGGTGTGGTCGGCTGGGGGATTGCTGACTGGGCCTCGTGGCCAGCTGCTTGCACAGCCAAATTCTGGCCCTACATCAGCTCGCTCTTTTCCATCCAGGGGCCGATGGCCTCAGTGTCTCTTCACGTGGCTGCTCACATACAGTGCGCTTCATCACGCGCTGAGCTCTGGTTGTGCTTCGCCCCGCTCCGCCCTCTTCACTGCACAGCTTTGACAAGGGGCGGCTATGACAACCGGCCTCAAGCTGCTACAGCTGCATATGTGAGCTCGCCGCTCTCCCTAGGTGCGCGGGTAAACATGGTGACGAGGCTGGCACTGCTGACATCAGGGCTTGCTTGTGCTCTTGTGCATTTTGGATTATCATGGTTTCAGGATTTAGGGTTTAGGATTCAAGGTATTGATCACACAAAGCATCAAGCGCAGGCACCCCCGCCCAGCAGTCCAGCAGCAGTCCAGCAGTCCATTTGCATGAGCTGAGTACTGCACCCGCAACTGCTTGTCGTGCACCCTGTCTTGACGCCGTGCCATCACCATCGCAGCGAGCACCCTGCGGCCCACGATCGCCTACGGCCTCGCCGAGTCGCGGGGGGACCTGCTGTCGGCGTCCGGCGGCACGTATGGAGCGGCAGAGTTTGGTTACAACCCGCTGTCCAACAACCTGGGGGCCTCGTTCAGCACCGGCTCCTCAAACTCTGTTAATGTCGACGACGCAGAAGAGCTGGTGCCAGGGAGCGCCCGTGAGTGGGTGGTGGGTGCTGTGGTGGGCCAACAAGTATGTATGTCAGGGCTTGCTGGTTTGTTTGGGCAGGACCAAATCATATGATACATGGGTGAAGTGGCTGCTGGGTCAGCAGATGCTGACCAGCCAGCAGGATTGTCGAGCAGCTCTCGAGTCACAGTACATCATCTGTATGTTGCATTGTAGCTCTGGCAATGAAGAGACGCCGTGCACCTGCCCAGCTGCCATGGCCTTGGTCAGTGTTGCCCCCGACGTGTGTGCCCTCACGCCCCGTGCAGTGCCAACCCCCGGGTCTGCCGGCTTCTCGGGGGCCGAGATCATCGGCACGGCCGACGACCAGACGCGCCTGGGCGACGCGCGTACGGCGCAGCTGGGCCAGGCGCTCGCCTACCCCTTCAACGTCCTCAACCCGATTAACCCCTTGACGTGCGCCCAGGTGCTTATCACTTAATGCAGTCGCACTTCCAGCGACCTGCGTGCTGAGCATTCCTGGACAGCTTGCTGTCGCTGTCCTGAACACACACAGTGTGCTGGCTACCGCTGACGGATGTCACGCACCCGAATGCCTTGCCCTGCCTGCCTATCTCAGGCATTGACCTACGGCGTCACGCTGGCCAATTATGACCACAGCTCCCCATCCGGCCCGCTTCCACGCAACAACGCGCCAAACCTCATCCCCTTCTGCCTCAACGCCTTCAATTTTGCAACCCTTGATGAGGTGGGTTCAACAGCATGGGGTCAGTAGTGAACCCAACAAGGCTAAGTTGTAATTGTGTGGCCACACACGCGCATAAGGATACGTCGCCGCCAGTGTAGCACCAGTGGGCAGCCATGACAAGCATTTTGCGGGCTCGATGAAAGCTGAACCCCTGCTCAACTTGAGGTGCACATGCGCGCCTCCAACCTGCAGTTTGCTACGTTCATCGGCCAGGGAGGCAAGAATGACAACAACATGCGGACACTGGCCAACGCGACAGCTCCAGCTGGGGCAGACAACACCACATCTGCTTTGTTCAACCTCAGTCCTGATGGACAGGGGCCGGGCGCAGATGCTGGCGGCCTCCCCTCTTTTGCGGAGCAGCTGGACAAAGCCGTCAGGCAGGTGAGAGCTGAGAGGGGCAGGCATGAAGGGTTGACCCGTGACCGCAAATGTTGACTGGCTCTAAATCCCGCATGTGTGCGCGATTGTACAAAGCCCCAGCAGAGTCGCGTACCTCTGGTGGTATCTGTAGTCGGATCCAAGCTGAGAAACGCTGCTGTTGCGGCCGCTCCTATCTGGCCAGGCCTCGTTGCTGACACACATCCCTCCTGGCCACCGTACCACTGCAAATCAGGGCGGTCCTGCAGCTCAGGAGTTCTTCAAAAGCAACCCCACGGGTCAAGCCCTCTTGCAGCGGGCAAAGGGGTCCCCTCTTGCCCGGAGTGCAGACAACGCCAACCGCGCCGCCGCCGCCGTCGCCGCGGCGGCCGCGAAAAAGCTGCAGGGGCCGCTGCAGAACCTGGCGCAGGCTGTCGGGGCGCTGAGGGGCACGGTGGCCCAGAACGCGACCAGTTTCAGGCTGAAAAGGGCCGTTGGCACCATCGAAGCGGCGGAGCCACTGGTTCGTCTGCGGGTTAATGCGACAAGGGAGGTTGCCAAACCGTTTGCAGATGCAGGACAGAGGCTGATGAACCAGTCGTTCGAGGTGCTGCGGCAGCAAGTCCAGGCGATGCCAGAGGGGAGCGAGAAGCAGGAGGCGGTGAGGGTCGTGCAGCAGCAGCAGCAGCAGCAGCAGCAGCAGCAGCAGGGGCAGGGGCAGCAGCAGCGGCAGCAGCAGGTAGCGGCGGCGACGACGGCACAGCAGCTGGAACAGCAGGAGGCAGGGGCGGCGGTCCTCAGCAACACAAGTGATACCGCCTGGATAGCAGGCGGGCACCTGAGCTTTGGCTGACCCTGCCGGCAAAATTGATGTAAAGCTGTTGCCATTTGTGGTGCTGTGCAGTGACTAGGGAACTTGAATGGGTTACAGGACAATCCTTGTGACAGAAATTTGCTCTCATGCTTAGTCAGGCCGACGCCGCTTGATGGAGCCGCTGCGCGTGGGGCAGCGTCATCCCTTGCGCGCCCCGGTGGTGCTCAGTGCAACTTGCCCATTCACGTTTAGGTACCGGCAGCCTATCTTGAAAGTGCTATGTGACACCAGACTCGGTCACATACTTGCAGCAGGTCGTTTGGCATGTGCTTTTGGCCATAATCCCTGCACACTGTACGCGAAATACAGGGAGACCACCAACACCCACAGCTGCGTCATTCGCATCAACAGGGCGGGGAGCATAACCACTGTGAATCATTAGACGCAAGTGAGACATTATAATACTTTTGAATGTGCTTTCACCGTTAATTACTTAGGTGCTTCCGTATTCGTGGTCTCGGAGTAGCCGCTCGAGCCTCGGGAGGTCCGCAGCGGCTGCCCGCCACACAGCCTGGTCGCCATTCTCTCTTATGACAGCGCAACAGGTGTTAAGATCCACGTCAGTCCCCAAAAACGCGACGCTGGTCGAGATGGTCGCAGGAGGGGCCGTTGTGGGGCCTCCCAGAGGATCACCAGCTCGCTGTCCGTTGTGGCTACTGTTGTTGCTGTTCCTCTTAGCACCACCACTCCAAGTCACTCTTGCAGCAGCGTCTGGAGCTGGCAGCAAAATTGGCAGCGACGCGCGCAGCAGCAAGAGCGGCAGCAGCAGCAGCACTGTGCCACTCACACCAGGCGAGCTAGAATCCGCTTTGGGCGCGTTCTGGGCGCAGGTTGACGGCGCGTACGACGTGGCAGACCTCCTCTTGGGCTTGCCAGAGGCCTTGATTCAGCAGTCAGGCATAGACCTTGAGTTTTGGCGTAGCGAAGCAGCTTCAGCGGCCAACGCTTTGTTGACAGGCGACCCTGGAGATGTGGGGGGTGGGAGCAGCAAAAGCAGCAGCGCTGACGGCAGCAGCAGCAACGGCAGCAGCATACGTAATACCAGCGGCAGCCACGACAGTGATGAAGGCAGAAGCGGCCGAGTGGAGGGAGGCAGCGGCCTCATTGACGGAAGCAGTGACAGCAGCGAGGGAAGCAGCAGCGGCAGCAGCGGCAGCGGCGGCAGCGGCAGCGGCGGCAGCGGCGGTGGTGACGGCAGCGGCGGCGGTGGCGTTGGCGGCAGCGGCGGCAGCAGCAATGGCGGCAGCGGCAGCCACGGCAGCGGCAGCAGCAGCGGCAGTGGCGGCAGCGGCGACGGCGGCGGCGCTGCGCATGCCGCAGCCCAGTCTGGAGCGGATGTTGGCACCGCAGGGCCAAGTCCGATGGAGCGCGCCGTCCGGCGCCTCATTGGCGCCCTTGTCGAAGCAGATCCCCTGGGCAACAGCGGCTCCTTGTCAGCTTCAGCTGGCGAAACAGGCAGGCGTCGGCGGCGGCGTCGGCGGCTGCGTCAATCTGCGAGCCGGGCACAGGGATCTCAGGCGTTGAGCCCAGCCGCACAGGAGCTGGTTGAAATGGTAGAGGCGTCGATCAGAGACATCTCGGAGCTTTCAGCGGCTACGGGCGCAACAGGCGCAGCCCGTGACACCAGGGACTGCCCCAAAACCCTGATCGGCGGCGCTGAAGTACCAGCGCAAAAGCAGGGGCGGCGGCGTTTGCAGCAGCAGCTGCAGCCGCCCGGGCAGTACTTTGTTTCGGGCCAGGCAGGGCCGCACGCGTTCAACCTGATCTTCTCAAACCTCTTCGACTTTGCCCTGCAGCGAGGTGGGGCGCGCGGCTGCACACCATGGCTGCGGTGCGTTGAAAATGCGCAGGAAAGCAGTACAAGCCAAGAAAATTCGCAAAACTTGCGGCACACAGCCTTCAACATGTTTACAGTGCATAGTGGCTGAGCTCTGTTGTGGGTCACCACCGCCACCTTTGTTTGGCACTCTTGCACACCTCGCCCCGGCAATTTTGACCCGACTTCCTGCAGGCCTCTATTACCTGGTGCCCCAGCTGGGGGACATCGCCGCGGTGCTGCAGCGCTACATGTGGCTGACTGACCTGGCGGACGGCCTCGACGCGCCCCTGGACAACATCGTGAACGCAAACCTGTTCCCCCTGCCACAGGCGCGGCGCGGCGACGCGATTGCTGACCGGGCGCACCGCCCTCCCCATACGCTCGCTTATGCTGACAGTCGCCCCCTTGTTTGCGCCCGCTTGTGCTTTGGCGCGGCAACCTGGGAAAAAGGAACCGCGGTCAAACATGATCAAACTCTGACCTACCCACAGGATGATGATCAGCTCAGGGGTCTAATCCGCAGGTTCACTGACGATTTCTGCTCAGAGTCCCAGGCCACGTCTAGCGAGACGGTGAGCTGCTTGCCTGGCTGTCGGTGGCTGCTTGGTCAGTGCTGAGCTTATCATGTTGGTGCGTGGAGGCCTGGCGCGTCATAGTCATCAAGTAGTGGCTGCTGTGCCAGAGGCTGCATCTGAACCTTTCATAGTTGCAAAACTGGTGCACCTCATGCTGAGGAAACTTCCCTTCCCTTGGCGGGCAGGTGCTGTTTGAGTACAGCCAGCCGACCCTGACGGTAGAGCTGGTCCCGCTGGACTGCCCCATCCGGCGCAGCAACAACACGGGACGCAACCAGATCATATTCGAGGAGTGCTCGCCGGCGCAGCTGCTCATCAGCCTCACCCCCTGTGCGCAAACAACACCAGAAGCAGCGCGCCGCTGGGTGCCCGGCGTGGCTGTGGGAGCAGTCCACAGCAGGCACCAAGCCGCAGCCTGATCAATCCTTGCATGCATTCGGTCACAGGCGGCTGCATGATCTGCCCCTCCAACATACTGCTACGGACAGCGGCAGCTGACAAGAACACAAGTCGACTTTTAACGCGCCCTGCTGATGCCTGCAGCCATTCATAACGCCCCATGACGGGCCACGACGTGCCACGCAATTGCAGATACGGTCACCGGCCCCTACTACACTGGCGCCCAATACACCGCTGCCAGCTGCACGTATGAGGATCAGTACGGTGTCGACCTGCAGGAGACGTTTGGGGGCGGCAGCATTCAATTCAACTTCACTGGATCAGTCGAGGTGAGAGCCCGCCCTACGCAGTCCGACTGGCGCCGGCTGCCGCTGGCTTGGTTTGCAGACTGCAGTGATAGTGCTCGGCCCGTTGCAAATTTCACCCACTCTCAACTTGTCTTTGATCATTCATGTGCAGAACAGCCAGTTGCTGAGCCTCTTTGCACACCGTACTCTGAGCACCACCACACTGCTCATGCAAAAACGCGGCCCCACCACGCATCGTCATTCGTGCGTGCGTGCCGCAGGGCGTGGACATTCAGCCGCTCATCAACCAGATCAACACGGACATTCGGGGGTTCAGGGGCTTCGCAAACGTCGTGCCGCCCCTCAACAACCTGACAGACGTTACCCTGTCCGTGGGCAACTTTGCGTCGGGCATCTTTGGCGGGCGGCGGTGACGGCGCGGCCGCTGAGCGAGCCAGCTTTTTCCTTGTTTGTGAGCGTTGGGCGCACTGCGACTTGCTTAGGCGGGAGCTGCAAGGAGGTTTCTCCGCCTGATGAGATCGCACAGCCACCAGGCGCATGCGTGGCGGCCTCGGGAAGACTGCTTTTCACGCTTTCTGCCGGCTGGCTGGGTGAGGCGGCTCTGCCCGTGCACGCTGACACAGCACCACCGGGCCGGACACATCCCTTGATAATTTTTCATCGTCATCCCTTGGACTACTGTACCTTGGCCTTGGGCCGCTGCCTCCCAAGTTTTTGCGGGATCCCTTTGGCCGATTATTATGCATGTGTTCTTCCGTTTTCGTCTCAACATGGCACAGTCTGTTTGCAGCCTGCACACAGTGTGCCGTGCGCGCAGCCCCACCTGCCTCCTGGCAAGCGCGTTGCCCTGCTTCACACGCACGCGCGTGCGTGCTCACGGCTCGTTCCACCCGGTGTCGCAGTGCGCCCGTCACCCGCCACCCCTCTCACGCCGGGCCCAAACTGTCTCCGACGCCATGAACGCACCAACTCTTTAGTAATTACATGGCAAGGTATGCGGTACGTCTGCCCTGGTCGGCTGTTGTCGACATGCGGCGGCATCTAAGTGACATAAAGTGACCTACTGCAACAAGGGAAAAGCGAGGCCCAACTCGTCTTCAACTACCACGAATGCGGACGAAACATGCTGCTGTTGCTGCTAATGCCAAGAAACCAAGGGCATGGGAACAGGAGGGGTACACGCAGCAAGCACGTCATCACATGAAGACGAGCACATGTTGCGCCAGATGTTGATATGCAGGGTGACTGATGCTGAGGGGCAGGCCAGGAATGACGGCTCACTCCCGTTGCCTCGATATCCGCATCACATGATAAAACGCTTCTCCAGCTGCCTGCAGCGTCCGGTGCGGCGGTTCGGGCGCAGGCGTCCCGGCGGGGGGGCGGGGGG